GGGAACAAGGAACAATCATTTTTTTCAGTGCCTAAATAATTTTTTATTAAAATAAAGTGTCTAATATTTTCTAAATTACACTTTTAGGTGCTAACCATTAAAAAAAAACTTTTAAGTGACCAGTGTCACATAATTATTTTTTTAAATAAAAAGAAAAAAAAACTAAATAGCTAAACAAGAGAAATAGATTTCACTTCCTCTTCAAAAAAAAAAAATTGTTTTTGAATGAAAAGAAGCCTCCCGAAATCCTCTGACCATGTTCTTCATTGTTCATCTAGATCTGGATTTTTTTCAGATTCCGACGAAGCCTCTTCCGTGTCGGCGGCCACGGAAACAGTGTCGGCCATCGTTTCCGGCGGCAAAATCGAAGAGCAACAGATTGGCCAGAGTGTGTAAGTGATTTCATGTCTTATAATAATATGTATTTTTGAAATGTTAGGTAAGGCGTAATAGACGATATGTATTTTTGGCTTATAGTAATATGCATGGCATATGCTTCATGGCTAATTTCGATGCTCATCGAAGCAGATGCGTAGTTCATTATTATTTTTATTATAGTTAAAAGGATAAGATCAGAGTTGAATATGATAATTATTATTGACAAAGAAAACTTCATTATAGAGCACGATAGTGATATAAACTATTAATTAAATCCTTGAAAACCAGAAGTCAAAAGTCGGTGGAAACAACGAAGAAGCTAACAAAATGAGAAAGGAAAAAATTAAGCAAAACTCTGGGCTTGACAGATGAAATATTTTCGAAAGTATTTTGATCCACATTGATGGCTTGGTTTATGATAACGTATAACAAATACCTCCTCCCTAATTTTGATTCCCAAAGTATTAATTGAATCCTTGTGCATTTGTGCTAAGATTGCCATCCAGTTTAAAAATACAAAATAGCTCCAAATACTACAAAAATGGAAATAAAGGAAATCATAATTCAGAAGTCAACTGTTAGAGGCCCCTAGTCGCTGAGGAAATCACAATACAAATACTAAAGCAACATCTGAATTCATTGCCAACAGAAGAAAACTGATTGCTATAATGGAGCTTGTTATTCTTGTGCCTTGTTCTTTCTTGCTCATAGCAGTAATAAGGTTCCTTTATGATTACTTGTGGATGCCTCTCCGTGTACAGCGCATGCTGAATTCACAGGGAATCAAAGGACCTCCTTACAGATTCATCCATGGAAACAGCGAAGAAGTTACCAAAATGAGAAAGGAAGAATTAAGCAAACCAATGGGCTTGACGCATGATATATTTCCCAAAGTGCTGCCACATATTTACTCCTGGATCAACAGATACGGTAAGATCGATGCATGTTGTTTTCTAACTTGTAGCTCTACGAAAAGATTGACCATTCTGTTTTTTTTTATGTGATTAGGGAAGAATTGTCTTTATTGGAATGGCACTCGAGCTCAACTTGTGATTTTAGAACCTGAATTAGTTAAAGAAATTTTGAAAAATAATGAAAAAGCTTATCCACGGAGGAAGACTACAATTTATCATAGAAAGCTAGTGGGAAACGGGCTTGTTTCAATTGAGGGTGAGAAATGGGTGAGGCAGCGGAAGCTGGCCAATAACGTTTTTCATGGCGAAAGCTTAAAGGTAAAGCCTGAAAATATAAGAATGTAGAAGAATTAAACAGAGAGTGCAATTTGACAAAACCTTATGTTGTTTGTTGCTTACTTATTGGAAGATTTTTTGGGCAGAACATGACACCGGCAGTAATTGCTAGCGTTGAAACAATGCTAAAAAAATGGAAAGGTCAAGAAGGTAAAGAGATCGAAGTGTTCCAAGAATTCAGATTATTGACTTCAGAAGTCATATCCAGAACAGCTTTCGGGAGCAGTTACTCGGAAGGGGAGAAGATTTTTGCCATTTTGAACAAGTTGTCAATAATTCTGGTCCGAAATGCTTTCAATGCGAGAATTCCTTTCATCAAGTATGTTCCCTACAAGCTTAATTAATCCTTGAGATTTGCCTTGATTAAAAAGTTACTGAACGCATAATTTTATACTGTTATTTCCCATGGGATTTTTTTAGTATATATAGCTGACGTTGGTTTACTTCTATAGCAAATTATGGAAACCTGCTGATTTGTTAGAGTCAGAAAAACTTGCAAAAGAAATACAAGATTGTGTGGTGAAGCTTGTTAAGAAAAGAGAGGACAAAGTTGTGAATGGAGAAGCTGATAGCTTCGGCAATGATTTTCTGGGATTACTTGTAAATGCCTCTCATGAGTTGGACAACAAAAACATGCTTTCCTTGGAGGACTTGGTAGATGAGTGCAAAACATTCTACCTTACAGGACAAGAAACTGTTAATTCCTTGCTCGCATGGACAGTCTTCCTTTTAGCAATCCATGGAGATTGGCAGGAAAAAGCAAGAAGAGAGGTGATAGAAATATTCGGTAACCAAAATCCACATCCTGAAGGCATCGCAAAACTCAAAACAGTAAGCAAACTATTTAACCATTTCAAATCACTGAACAATATGAATTTAAATAGCGACCGCAACAGATGTTATGGTCACTATTTTGCAGATTCAACCATTTCAATTTCGATATTCATCGCTAATGTTTACATTATGTCTGTCAATCTATATATCCCTGGTGTATACTACCATGTGTTTAGTACATCAATTTTTTTGATACAATCTCACATATTTCTGTTCTGTATACAGATCACCATGATCATTAATGAAACTCTAAGACTGTATGGTCCATCAACTTTATTAGTAAGACAAGTTGCAAGAGAAGTTCAGTTAGGAAAGCTCGTCTTGCCTGCTAATATGGATCTTCTTGTCCCAAATATGGCACTTCACCATGACCCTCATTTGTGGGGAGATGACGTCCATCTTTTTAAACCGGAGAGATTCGCAGAAGGGATTGGCAGAGCTACCAAATACAATGCGGCTGCATTTTTCCCGTTCGGATTGGGACCTCGATCTTGTGTTGGTATGACCTTTGCAATCACAGAAACCAAGATTGCTCTCACCATGATTCTGCAATGCTACACATTTACCCTTTCCCCTGCCTATGTCCACTCACCAATGACTATTCTCACCCTCCGGCCACAGCATGGCATTCAAATAATACTCGAGTCACTGCATAAGGATGCTTAAAGCACAGAGCAGCTAAGGACTCGGTGTTCAACTCAGTCTGTCCATATATTCCCTTTACTCGGTAATATTAAGCGTAAGTGACCAAATATTATGTATTTTAGTTTAATGAGAAAAAAGTTTACAAAACTTAAGCGAAAATGGCCAATCATATAGTTTTTCTTTCATTTTTATAACACAATCAAAGAAAATGAGAAAATCCTGTAAGAAGTCCCTCAACTTACCAAACTTCTCAGAATGGTCCGAAATTTTTTGAAAAGAACAAATTCGTTCCTCAATTTCACAACATAAATTAAATAAAAGTTAGTCCCAAATTGGGGTGTGACAGCCTATATTCTAATAATTCCCAAACGAAAAGTAGAAATTACATAATGTAGAGAAATTTAAATTAATTAACTAAATTTAGTTGAGGTCCAAGAAAATTTGTAGGTCAAATTTGGTTCACTGGGTCGATTAAAATCGAATATAAAAACAGCAAGAAACGCATGGAAGTGTGTTTCGACGGTGACCACACTATTTAACAATGACTATATGCTTATTTTAATCATGCTTAGTAGTAGTACGACGTAATAGAAGTTGATGCATTTTTGGCTTAAACTAATATGTCTGACATATGTTTCGTGGCTTATTTCGATGCTCATCGAAGCGGATGTGTAGTTTTATATTAGGGTAAAGTATATAAATGGTCCCCTGATTATAAGATACTACTTTGTTAAACCTCCGACTATTAAAAGTTACAAAATAGTCTTCCGACGATAAGATGCCACTTTATTGAGTCCCTCGACTATTCTATAAGTTCTAACTCATCTTTTTTCGTTAAAAAAATTAACAACAATCTGAATTGTATGTTAATTTATTGTCTGAGATATGATAGCCGTTTGAGATTCTATGATCAAATTTTATTATATCTCAAACATAGGGCCGTACCTAAGGGGGAGCAACTTGAGCAACAACTTAGGGCCCCCAATTTTTTTAGGCCTCCCATTTTTTCCATTTATAATTAGGGCCCTCAATTTTTATAATTTCATAATTTTTTTATTTTTATCCACTTTTTTCCATTTCTTTTATTAATTCATTCAATTTTATATTAAATTTAACCATTTTTTATATTTATAATTCAGGCCCCTAATTTTTATAATTTCATAAAATGTTTAGTTTATGACCATCTTTTTCCGTTTCTCTTATTTATTCATTTAATTTTGAATTAAATCTAATAATGTTTTTCTCTTTTTTCAAATCTTACTCTTCAATTTATCAAATATTCTTTAATATTTAGTCTTCTTCAATCTCAATCTAACAATAAAATAATATAAAATTCTTTTTATTTATTTATTATTCAAAATCGAGCTATGTATCATGCATGCATTCAATTTTTTTATATTTATTCTCTTTTATTTATATTTAAGGTGTTTTCTTAATAAAATAATAAAAATAATATATTTTCACAAAATTTAATCAATTTTCCATTATTTATTTATGTAATATTAAATTAATTGTTCAAAGTAATGAAATATACTTTCATTTTATAAAGACATATTTTTTAGTTTTCGCTCGGGGCCCCAAAAATATCCAAGACGGCTCTGCTCAGACAACATATTAACATCCAGCTCAGATTGTCGTCACTTTTTTAATAGAAAAGAACGAATTTGGAACATAATGAACAGTCAGGTGACCATTGTGTAACTTTTAATAGTTGGAAGACTCAACAAAATAACATCCTACAATTGGGGGACTATTTTGTAATTTTTGATAGTAGGGGGACTCAAAGAAACACCCTATAGTCGGGTAGCATTTGTATATTTTACCCTTTGTATTATTGTGATCATATAATAATTATTATTGATAAAGAAAACTTATAGTGATATCAACTATTATTTGACTCCTCGAAAAGCAGAGCTCAAAAGTCAATGGTGAGTCAATTGTTTGCAGAAGATAACTGAGTGCCTTGATGGAGCTTGTAATTCTTGTCCCATCTTCTTTCGTCCTCATAGCAATAATAAAGTTCCTGTATGATTACTTGTGGATACCTCTGCGTGTACAGCGCATACTGAATTCACAGGGAATCAAAGGACCTCCTTACAGATTCATCCACGGAAATGACAAAGAAGTTGCCAAAATGAGAAAGGAAGCATCAAGAAAAACTCTGGGTTTGACAGATGAAATATTTCCAAAAGTGCAGCCACATATTTACACTTGGATCAACAGATATGGTGAGTTCGGTGCATATCGTTTTTCGAACTTCTAGCTCTATGAAAAGATTGATCATTTTGGTTTTTTTATGTGATTAGGGAAGAATTATGTTTATTGGAATGGATTTCGAGCTCAACTTGTGATTTCAGAACCTGAACTAGTAAAACAAGTTCTGAAAAATAATGAAAATGCTTATCCAAAGAAGAAGCCTTCGATTTATAGTCGCATGCTAGCGGGGAACGGGCTTGCTTTAATTGATGGTGAAAAATGGGCGAGGCAGAGGAAGCTGGCAAATTACGTTTTTCATGGGGAAAGCTTGAAGGTAAAGCCTGCAAATATGTTTTTGACTGATCCTCGTGTTGTTTGTTTCTTGATTATTGGAGGATTGTTTGTGCAGAACATGACACCGGCAGTAATTGCTAGCGTTGAAACAATGCTTGAGAAATGGAAAGGTCAAGAAGGCAAAGGGATCGAAGTGTTCCGAGAGTTCAAATTGTTGACTTCCGAAGTGATATCGAGAACAGCTTTCGGTAGCAGTTACTTGGAAGGGGAGAAGATTTTTGCCTTGTTGAACAAGTTGACTATAATTGTGGGCCGAAATTTTTTCAATACCACAATTCCTTTCATCGAGTATGTTCCCTCCAAGCTTAATTAATCCTTGAGTTTTGCCTTGAGTAACTAGTTTCTGAATAGCTGACCATGGTTTACTTGTATAGCAAGTTATGGAAATCTGCTGATTTGTTAGAGTCAGAAAAACTTGCAAAAGAAATACAAGATTGTGTTATGAAGATTGTTAAGAAAAGAGAAGTTGAAGTTGTGAATGGAGAAGCTGATAGCTTCGGCAATGATTTTCTGGGATTGCTTCTAAAAGCCTTCCATGATTCGGACGAGAAAAACAAGCTTTCACTGGAAGACTTGGTAGGTGAGTGCAAAACATTCTACTTTGCAGGACATGAAACTGTTAATTCCTTGCTATCCTGGACAGTCTTCGTTTTAGCAATCCATGGAGATTGGCAAGAAAAAGCAAGAAGAGAGGTGATTCAGATATTTGGTAACCAAAATCCACATCCTGAAGGCATCGGAAAACTCAAAACAGTAAGCAAACTGTTTTGCTTCAGCTATTTCGATGTTGATATTCATCACTCATGTAAATCCCTGGTGGTATGCTACCATGTGTTTAGTACATTAGAATTTTTTATACAATCTCACATATTTCTATCCTGCAAACAGATGACCATGATCATTAATGAAACTCTAAGGCTGTACAGTCCATTGACTTCGATCGTAAGACAAGTTGGAAGAGAAGTTCAGTTAGGAAAGCTAGTCCTGCCTGCAAATGTGGATCTTCTGGTTCCAAATATGGCACTTCACCGTGACCCTCATTTGTGGGGAGACGATGTTCATCTTTTTAAACCAGAGAGATTCGCAGAAGGGATTTCCGGAGCTACCAAATTCAACGCGGCTGCATTTTTTCCGTTTGGATTGGGGCCTCGATCTTGTGTCGGTATGACCTTTGCAACCACTGAAACGAAGATTGCTCTATCCATGATTCTGCAATGCTACAAATTTACCCTTTCCCCTGCCTACGTCCACTCACCAATGACTATTCTCACCCTTCGGCCACAGCATGGCATTCAAATAATACTCGAGTCACTGCATAAGGATGCTTAAAGTACAGAGCAGCTAAGGACTCAGGGTTCGACTCAGTTGGGGCCATATATTCACCCTTACTCGGTAATATTAAGCGTATGTGGGGTTTTCAGCATTCACGTCCTTCTCTTATTCTGAAGCTTTGTCCTCTATAAAGAAAGAAATGTACACTGTTGATGTATTGATATGGGATATATTATTTAAATTTTCATTAATATTTAATCTCAAATTTTAAAAATGTGTAGGTCTCTTGTTTTATTTTGGTAGTTCGAAGAGCATCAAAATTAGCTAGGAAGCATATGTCATACATGCAATTATAAACAGAAACATCACTGTCTATTAGGCCATACAACTGGAAACGAGGATTAAAATAAGAGAAAATCGCCTCAGTGACCAAAAAAAAGTTATAATATACGATTTTAACCAACTTTTTTTGGATTTGCCAAAATGACCAACAAAATCGCAACGCGAAATAAAAATCGCAACGCGATCCCCAGAATCGCAAATCAGTTTCCAAAATCGCAACGCGATTCTTGAAAATCGCAATGCGATAGTACAAATTCGCATTGCGATTTTCCAAAATCGCAACGCGAATATGAAAATCGCAACGCGAACACATAAATCGCAACGCGTATCCGTAAACCGCAACGTGTATCCGTAAATCGCAACGCGTATGGGTAAATCGCAATGCGTATCCGTATATCGCAACGCGTATCCGTAAATCGCAACGATAATCCGTAAATCGCAACGAGAATCTGTAAATCGCAACGATAATCCGTAAATCGCAACGATAATCCGTAAATCGCAACGAGAATCTGTAAATCACAACACTGAAATTTTGGGTATATAACACTGAAATCATAAACTAAATCCCTAAATCGCAACTCATTCCATCTCCATCTATCACTCTCTCCGGCGACATCCGTTCCTATATCCAACGACATCCTTCCCAATCCGGCAACAGGTTTTAGTTTCGCAGCTCGTCTGTTTAGTAAATTAATTTACAACCATGAAATCATCTAATGGTAATCATGTTTGGATAGATTTGTGTTTTGGAGGGTCATGGGATAATGTTCATGGTGTTTTACAATATATGCCTTTACCCATGAATCTTCAACTAAAATTGTCTTTACAAAAGTTAACTTATGAAACTCTAATGCTACGTGTTTCAAATAAATTGAATTTAGAGCCCCTAAGTGGATTTAGGCTATCTTATCAGAGAAATGGTAAAGTTTATTTGTTAACCGACAATGAAGATGTTGAACGATTCATTGCTTACATTAGTGTTTCACAAGATGATGTTACATTGTATGTTGTTGAACCTAGAAGTAGTATTGTTGGGTCAGTAGCGGGTAGTAATCAACTAAGTTTTTCTCAAAACCCACAACCTTTCTCTAATCCAAATCCCAATCAACTTTCAGCACCAAATTCCGGTTTTCGTATTGACCAGTTAGACGATGATGAGCCAACAGAAAAAATTGTGAGTACTAGTCAGTATTCGAATTTGGTCTTGGTCAATATCGGACTTTGATATTGGTCAATACACGGATTTTGATGATGTTTCAGAAGAAGAAACAGACCCTGCGTGTAATGATTTTGATATTGGTCAATACCCAAATTTTGATGATGAAACAGCCGTTGCCGAAGAATGTATTGATGATGATAATGAGGAGGAAGTTACGACTGTGAATGAACATGTTGAACATCCATTCTGTAATTCATATAATCCTGAAGAAGAAAAAGAAGAAGAAAAAGTCCCCGAAGAAAAGAAAATGCCACGGGCGTATAACTGGAATATGCCAGAATTACTTCAGATACCGGAAGAAGAGTTGGTAAAGAAAGCAGTTGATTGTTACACAAAAGTTATTCGTATCAAGAAAGATGATTGTTTTGATACAAAGGAAGACTTGAAGATAGCTTGTATACGAAATGTGTGGAAGATGGCTATCAACTAAAAGTTAACAAATCAAGCAAAGATCGTTTCGAAACAAGGTGTATGATTGACAAAAACTGTACGTGGCGTATGATTGCAAAGAGAATAAAAGATTGCGAAATGTTTCAAGTTAGGACTTTTATTGATAAACATACATGTTCAAGAACCCAAGTTTTCCTCACCATAGACAGGCAAACAAAAAGGTGTTGGGTGGTTTTCTGGCTGAGTTAATGTTTTTGAATGGCAGGGTATATCGGGGACATGAAATTATGACTGACATGAATGCTCGGTTCAAGATTAGTATATCATATTCTCAAGCTTGGAGAGCCAAATGTTATGCCTTGGAATTGTTGAGGGGGTCGCCAGAAGCATCGTTTGCCCAACTGCCGGCTTATTGTCACAATTTAAAGCTGAAAAATCCTGGGTCGGTAACTCATATCAAAACAGATAGAGATGGACGCTTTGAGTTGCTGTTTATCGCCATTGGTGCTACGGTTAGTAAATCAATATAATTTTGTTGACTCATTTTTGTTAGTTACATGCATTTCACATTTAAATGATTATATTTCTTGTGTATATTATTTTGTAGATTCGTTCGTTTATTACTTGCATGCGCCCAGTTATTATAGTTGACGGAGCACATTTGAAAGGTCGATACCTTGGAGTAAACTTATTAGCAGTAGCCATGGATGCTAACAATGGGATATTGCCAATAGCTTACGGGGTTGGCAAATCTGAAACCTCTGATTCATGGACATGGTTTATGGGGCATCTTAGGGATTGCATAGGTCCTATTAGCAATCTGACAATCATATCCGATAGGGCAAACTCAATTGACAACGCTGTTAGAAGGTGTTTCCAGATGCTTTTCATGGACTTTGTGGTGTTCATTTGTATAGAAATCTAAAATCAAGGTCTGCTGGTATAAAAAAGCACAAATGGACATACTGGAAGGCTGTAAAAGCTTATCGGGAAGTGGATTTCAATAAGCATATAAATTGTTTAAGACGTGTTTTGCCTCAGTGTGCTCAAACACTAGAAAATGTCGGGTTTGAAAGATGGTCAAGAGTACATCAACTTGGAGTAAGATATGGTTTCATGACGTCTAATAGTGCAGAATCAATCAACGCTCTAAGTCGTCATTCCCGGAAATTACCCATTACTATGTTAATGGAGTTTTTTCGAGCCTCTATTCAACAGTGGTACTACAAGAAAAGAAACCATGCAGGTATTATTTCTTTGAATTCGTAACTTATCATATTTATATATTTTACTAAGTATTGTTATTTAAATTTACAGGAACATTGGAACATCGTGTTACACCATGGACTGAAAAAAAGATAACGAAACGTGTTGTGAAGTCAACGTCATGGAGAGTTGAACCATGTTCAAACACTTTGTTTCAAGTACTGGATATAACTTAAATGGGCTAGTCGATCTAAATGCAAAGACGTGTAGTTGTATGAAATGGCAAACATCTGGTTATCCGTGTGGCCATGTTATAAAAGTTGCTCTTCATTTAAACCAAGATGATTCAAGCGCATACGCTATGGATTGCTCACTACAGAAGTTTATCGACAGACTTATGCCGAGATTGTCTACCCTATTCCACATCCTTCTGAGTGGTACATACCAGATGACTTACAAACAGTTTTGCCACCAGCCATGGACAGAAGGCTACCTGGCCGACCAAAAAGTCACGATCGTATACCGTCTAAGGGTGAAGAGAAGAAGAGATCGACATGTAGTCGGTGCAAGGAAAGTGGTCATACAAGGTTGACATGTGGATCACCAGTGCCATCAAAATCATCTTTTCCTCTACCAAAATATGGATCCTCATCAAAATCCAAAGCTCATATGGTGTCAAGCAAAAGGCAATCATCTTTAAAATCCCAATCACAATTGGCTTCACCTTTTGGGACTGTTAACTTAGGTGATTTTTAAATGCAAACGTTGTATTATGTGGATTTTATGTGTGAACTTTTAACATTTTCAGTTGAATTAATGACTCAGGCCAACCATTTTGACTTAACCAACTCTTGTTATTCAGTTGTTATCACTATTAGGCATGCATTTGACTATCGCAACACGGAAATTACAATCGCAACGAGAGAATCGCAATGCGAAATGAAAATCGCAATGCGGAAATGAAAATCGCAACGAGAGAATCGCAATGCGAAATGAAAATCGCAATGCGAAATGAAAATCGCAACGAGAGAATCGCAATGCGAAATGAAAATCGCAATGCGAAATGAAAATCGCAACGAGAGAATCGCAATGCGAAATGAAAATCGCAATGCGAAATGAAATCGCATTGCGATTCTCTCGTTGCGATTTTCATTTCCGCATTGCGATTTTCATTTCGCATTGCGATTCTCTCGTTGCGATTTTCATTTCGCATTGCGATTTTCATTTCGCATTGCGATAGTCATTTCGCATTGCGATAGTCATTTTTGCCTTCAACATAATGCAGATTGAAATCAACAAAATCAACCATTACATTTCAATCAATTAAACAAGCACAAATAAGAATTATGTTCGCATCAATTACACAAATCAACTTTTACAAATCATCTTTTACAAATCAATTAAACAATCAAAAAATAAGCAATAATTCTTATTTCCGATCATCTACTATTGAATCAACTTTTACAAATCAATTAAACAATCAAAAAACAATCAATTAAACTATTGAATCAACTTTTGCAGCCATACATCATTTTCACGCAGTTCACTTCTGAGATTAACCTGCAGAAACCAAACATTTGCTCAAACAACACTTTCTACACATCTAAAACCTACAAACAGCAAATTATTGAATTCTAGGTACTTAACCAAACATTTTCAAACCAAAAGTATATAAACTTACCAATTGTTTATGGACATTTTTATAACGCGGATGCAGGTAGGCAGTGTCTCGTATATATCGATTTAGCCATATAATGCCGAAACCACAAGCCTACTGCAGCTCTATCTCTATCGGTGGGAGGTAGATACTTGATGCTTCCCGTCGTCAAACGCTCCAACGCCAAGCATACGAGAGGACCACAATCTCCTCTGGCTCCGCTCGTTTGTTGTGGCGCGGTCTCGTCTCTAATAACTGTAATATTGAGCTTCTTTGGCTTCTTGTTTCCAGAACGAGTCCAATAATTGATCGCATCCAGAATTTAGCCAAATGAGAGCTCCATCCCTTAATAACATCTCTTAAATCAGCCAATGATATGTAATTTATCATGCTGTCATACACT